CGGGCCGCACGCCCCGCCCCCGCCCCCGCCCCCAGCGGCCGAGCGTGCGCGCACGCGTCGTAAGCGGTAAGCGGAAAAGTGTGCCGGGTGGCGGCAGAGACCTGGGTCTCAGGCGAGCTGGACCAACTCTCGCTGAGGTTTGCCCCGGCCCCGGCGCAGCCTGTAGAGCGCAGCTGTAGCGCCTGGGTGGGATCTTGGAACCGAGAAAAGGGCGGGAAATGAGATCTCTCAGGAACGGGTGGCCAGGCGGACACTTGTGTGCTCTCCTGGTAAATCCGCTTCACACTCAGTGTGGCCTATCACTAGAAGAGGGCCAGAATCAGGAAATCCGTGCTGCCTAAAAGAGAACTCTCGGGTCGAGCGCTTCACCTTCCCTCCATCCCCTTCCCGCCCTCGCTAATAGGACAGGAGCCTCGGAGGATCCCAGCCGCCTACGTACCCAGGCCCAAGGGATGCCCCGGAGACCTGGGTTCTCTCGGAGATTGCCTTGTTCCCCACCTTCTCCCCGCTTCCTGCCGTCCTTTCTTCGAGAGACACTGGTTGGTCCCCGTGAAAAAGAGGAGCTGCAGTGCTCTGCCGGGCCGCCTGCAACAGAGCACTGCAACCGGAACCAGAGTAAGGGTGAGGGTGGAGATGTCCAGTCCAAAAGCTTTAAATAGGGGCCTGCGACATGGCTCAGCGGGTAAAGGCGTTTGCCGCCAAGCCTGAGTTTAATCCCTTGGACTCAGGGTGGAAGGAGAGAACAGACTCCCGCAGTTTGTCCTCTGACCTCTACACGCGCGCGCGTACACAGACACGCACATAGTTTACAGATGCAGCAAGAGCAGTTGTTGCAGCCATCTCCCACTTACGCTGACTTACAAGGGGATCCTTGCCCCTCAACCCCTGAATCAATTGCCAGGTGTTAATCGGACGGAGGAACTACAGTGTGCCACTACCATGGCCCCTTCTCGCCGCTAGGCCGAACTCCGGAACCCTGGTGAGAGTGGTGATGCCAAACTCCTGGAGATCCTCGCTTGGGGTGGGCCGGGGAGGCCGGGGGTGTCAACGGGACAGCGCCCTGAGGTACTGCGGGGAAACCACGGCCTCCCCCTGCAAACCTGAGGTCCGGATCAGATGTCTGCGGTCGGTCTCGCTGGCCAGGTGCAGACTACCCGATCCCTGCTGCGTTATTGTGCAGTAGCGGGTCCTGCCTGTGCCGAGACAATCACCGAGGTCAGGGAGAGCCACTGAGGGAGGGCAATGTGTGGGCTCTGGCAGCAGATGCCGTCACCGGGTGGGAATCGTGGGACCAGCGCCAGTAGCCGCGCCGTTATTCCCTTCTGGCTGCTGGTCCACAGCCGACCTCCGAGAACGCAGCGACCCAGGGTCTCCCCTGCCAGCCAGATCTGGTAGGATGGAGGGGCAGGAGCAGGGGACTCTGACATCAGGCCTCCAAGCCTCAGTTCCGGGTCTCCCCAATTCTTTGCTCACACAACTCCCCATTCTCTCCTCCCTCCTCGCGCGCCACCACGGCCTCGCTCCCTTTTAGTGTCCCCGATTTCTTTCACCCTATGCCCCTGCTTGTCGCAATCGCTGTACAAAGGGCTGGGGGACGGGCGAGGGGAGCTCGACCCGAACTGGCTGCCTCCGCCTGCCTGCGACCAATCCCGAGCGCGCCCGGCCGCCCGCGCGGGAGGGCGCTGGGCAGATACCGGTGGCCGGGCGGAGCCCCGGGCAGAGCCGGGAGCTCGCCGAGGGTACAGCTCCGCTCCCTGTCATCGCCCGGAGCCGCGCGGCGGGGGCTGCACTGCCCCGCCATGCCTCCGTGGGGGGCCGCCCTGGCGCTGCTGCTGGCAGCGGCCGCCCTGCTCCTCCTGCTGGTCCCGCGGCTCCGGTGCCCCTGGAAGCGCGCCGTCGGAGCGAGGTCCGGGATCCAGAACCACGAGGAGCAGGCGGACAAACGAGGCTCCACGGACCAGTTTGGCTGCCGGCGCGAGCCGCTCCCTGGAGGGCGCAGCCTCATTTGCAAGCCGTCAGCGCTAGCCCAGTGCCTGCTGCGCGCCCTGAGGCGCTCGGCCGCTCTGGAGCCGGGGCAGCGCTCCTGGCTCTCCTGGCTCTCTGGGCCCCACTTGCAGACCTTCTGCCACTTCCTCCTGCCCGTTAGGGCCGGGCCTGAGCTTGCCCGGGAGTACCTGCAGTTGGCGGACGATGGCCTGGTGGCCCTGGACTGGGTCATAGGACCTTGTGCCAGGGGACGCCAGGTCACCAACGCAGGGGCTCTTCCAGCGGTGCTGCTGGTGATCCCCAATGCCTGGGGGCGTCTCACCCGCAACGTGCTGGGGCTCTGCCTACTCGCCCTGGAGCGCGGCTACTACCCTGTCATCTTCCACCGCCGAGGCCACCACGGTTGCCCGCTGGTCAGCCCCCGGCTGCAGCCTTTCGGGGACCCGTCCGACCTCAAGGAGGCGGTCACTTACATTCGTTTCCGACACCCGGCGGCCCCTCTGTTCGCGGTGAGCGAGGGCTCCGGGTCGGCGCTGCTGCTGTCCTACCTGGGTGAGTGTGGCTCCTCCAGCTACATGACAGGCGCCGCCTGCATCTCTCCGGTGTTACGATGTCGCGAGTGGTTCGAGACTGGCCTTCCTTGGCCCTACGAGCGTGGGTTCCTGCTGCACCAGAAGATCGCTCTCAGCAGGTGGGTAGTGGGAACAGAGGTCTACAGCTCTGCCTGGTATGGAAACAAACGGACATTTATCAAAGCTGTCCAAATCCCATCGTCTAGATAGAACCAGGAGAGTAGGTTTCAGAACCATAGACAGTCTCATGGTCTCAGTAGGCATTATCGTGTCAGAGCAGGGCCTCCTGATAGGGCCCCAGCGGCTGAGTTCAATCCCAGGTCTCTTAGCAACGTGAGTACCTCACCCGTGGGCAGCAGAGTCGAGGGGGCACCTGACATCTACCACTTAGTACACAGCCTGACAGGTCAGCAAACAGGGCTCTAGAAGCAATTGCAGCCAATTATCTGTCCCGAATGTTTACTCTCCGTCTCTAAGGCAGGAGGTGGAAGGAATATGGCAGGGCTTGATTTGTTAAAATTCTTTAAACTTAACAAATATTTTATATATTCTCTGTCTAGTACTCTTTTTTTTTTCTTTTGAGACAGAGTCTTATATAGCTCAGGCTAGCCTCAAACTCACTGTGTAGCTGAGGATGACACCAAACTCCTGATTCTTCTGCCTCTACCTTCCAAGTACCAAGATTACAGGCATGAGCAGCCACACACAGCTACTTTAAACATAAATTTTGAGCTTTTTTTTTTGGTCTTTTTGAGACAGGGTCTCCCTGTAGCTCCAGCTGTCCTGGAACTCACTATGTAGACCAGGCTGGCCTTGAATTTACAGAGATCCGCCTGCCCCTGCCTCCCAAGTGCTGGGATTAAAGGTGCGTGCCACCACACCCGGCAAATTTTGAGCTTTTTAAATCTCCAAAAGGAGAGCAATTTAACACCAGGCAAGACTTTTCTACAGAGGAGACTTGAATATTTCCAGTCTTTGCTAAGAGATGGCAAAATGAGGTCAGAGGCATTCTGGCAACAAAATGTTATAGCAGAAAGATCTGGAACATGGAGTAAGACTTGGTTGGATTCAAATCCTGAATTTCCAGCAAATTAGCAAATTCCTTTAAGACTTTGCCTTTTCAGTTACATGGAGTTAATAGTAACCACCTCTGCAGGGTGGTTATGGTCATTAAAACAAAAGTTTATGGCATTGGGGAGGTGCTCAATAAATATTGGCAATTATGATTCTCCTTTTTTCACCCCATTTTTACCTCCTATTCTGAAAAGATTAAATTCTGAGGCTATACAAACAACAGTATGAAGTGATGTCATGGCAACTCAGGGCTGATGCAAGCCCAGGGCAAGGTGCTTTGATCTGGCTTAGCTGCCATAGTTTCCACTCCAAATAACCACTACCAGTGCCCACACCATTGGCAATACAGAGAAGCAGCCTATGGAAGTCTGGAATTGAAAACACAGGCAAGCAGCTTTCACTGTTTGCAAGAGACAGAGATCTAAATTCAACTTGTTGAGGCTAGATTAATCTACCCTAAGAACTGAGCTGCCCACCGTGGCCTCCTGGTGACTCTTCCAGGTCCTCTCCAGGAACCTGGAAATAGCTAAGATGTCTCTCTTTCCCAAAAAAGTTGTTTACAGGTCTTTGAGAAACCATCTAGCAAATTAATTATAAGCCCATTATTTTCTCTGCCACCCAGCACTCTCTTGGAGCACCTGCCCCAGGCCTATCTGGTCATATCAAACTCACGAGTCACAAAAAATGTATAAAAATATATACACAATATGATTGAGTTGGGCATGGTAGCACACACCTTTAATCCTACCACTTGGGAGGTAGAGACAGGCAGATCTCTGTGAGTTCAGGTTAGTCAGCTCTGTAGTAAGGCAGGCCCTGTTTCACAAATCAATCAAAAACAAAAACAACTGTGATTGATTGTGGGACAGAGGTCACCTGCTGGTTTGGATAGTCTAAGACTGTAAGGGGCCAAGAAGGTGGCAGATTATAGTGAGTTCCTTGGAGAGGGTCAAAAATTGAAGTTGGGTTGGGCATGGTGGTGCACGCCTGTAGTCCCAGCACTTGGGAGGCAGAGGCAGGCGGATCTCTGAGTTATTTTGATATATCACAGTGAAAGATTTATCGTCCTCTTTTTTTTTTTTTTTTTTTTTAAAAAAAAAAAAAAAAAAAAAAAAAAAAAAAAAGAAAAGAAAAGTTGAAGTTGGGAGGAGAGCTATCCCTTTCAGCAGCTGCCAAGTCAAATGCTACCTCTGGGGTAAACGACAAGCTTGGTGGCCACATGACAGAGAAGGAATGATCACTGTGCAGAGGCCAGACCTGCATTTTATTTGAAATCTGATTTTGAATAACCAAAATATGGAAGGGGTTTCGTTTGCTTGTTTTTTTGTTTTGTTTTGTTTTTGAGACAGTGTCTCACTATGCAATGCTGGCTGGCCTCTGCCTCCAAAGTGCGGGAATTAAAGTTGTGTATCAGTACACCTGGCTCATTATGGAAGGTTTCTTTCTTCTTTCTTGTTTTTTAAGAAATTCATTTTATTTATGTATGTATGTGTTTGTGCACTTGCATGCAGGTGCCAGGGGGACCAGAAGAGGGCATGGGATCCCCTGGAGCTGGAATTACAGAGTTTTTCGTGCCACTGAGCTATGTCTCCAGCCCTATCATTACAGAAGTTTTTAAAAAATATTATTTTATGTGTATGAGTGTATTGTCTGCATGTAAGTGCTAAGTGCACTCCTGTTGTGCAATGCCCTGTAAGGTCAAAAAAGAGGGCATTGGATCTCCTGGAACTGGAGTTATGGATGGTTGTTAGCCACCATATGGGTGCTGGAAACTGAACTGGGATCTTCGGCAAGAGCTGAGCTGAGCCATCTCTCCAGTCCCCATTTTGGAAGTTTTTAAGAACACGAAATCATCAAAAGTCTGCAGGGGCTGCTTCTGCAGCTCTGCCTGCCATCTGATGTTCTAATTCTTCCCTCTCCCTCCTCAACCTCTGCGACCAGGTACGCCACGGCCCTGGAGGACACGGTGGACACCAGCAAGCTGTTCCGGAGCCGCTCCCTGCGGGAGTTTGAGGAGACCCTGTTCTGCCACACCAAGAATTTCCCCATCAGTTGGGATACCTACTGGGACCTCAACGACCCACTCCGGGATGTGGACGAGGCCGCCGTGCCCGTGCTGTGCATCTGCAGCGCTGACGACCCGGTGTCTGGACCCCCAGACCGCAGTCTGCCCGCGGAACTCTTCCAAAGCAACCCTTACTTCTTCCTGCTGCTCAGCCGCCACGGAGGCCACTGCGGCTTCCTGCGCCAGGAGCCCTTGCCCGCCTGGAGCCACGAGGTCATCTTGGAGTCCTTCAAGGCCCTGACGGAATTCTTCCGAATGGAAGAGAGGATGAAAGGGCTGAGCAGGCGCAGAACTTCCTTCCTAGGGGGCCGGCGTCGTTGGGGAGCCCTGCAGAAGCGAGAGGTCTCTCCCTCTTGCAATATGGAAGAAACCTTCAGCTGGAAGCGTTCTTACACCAGGTGAGGCCTGCCCGGGGAAGCCCCTGGTCCTGCAAGGAAGACCTAAACACGGCATGGAGTCTTGAGAAGACTGACAAGTGGGTGGTGGATCTCCAGGTCTTTGCTCTTGAATCTGTCCCTTCTCTCTTAAAGTGGTCTGTGGAAAAAGCTGGAACTTTCAGAGAGCCTGAGCTCAACACCAGTGCAGAATCCTCCCAGTCTCTGTGAAACAAATTCCTGCTCATCCTGGTGAGCCCTGGTCACTGTCTCCTGTCACCAAAGTCATAAGCTAAGGAGTAGCAGTTTTAAGTCCATGGACTGAAGAGAAAATGCTGTCCTAGCTCTGACTCTAGGGAAGAAGAGCTTATGTGAGTCAACTGGGTGGCTCTGTCCCACATAAATAATCAGCTGGGTGACTCTGAGTCTGGAGCTGGAGCCACTTGGTGCAGAAAGGACAGGATGTTTGTGTCTCGGTCCCACTTCCCTCATGTGCTCTGCGGTTGTGGCTCTGTGTGAGTTAGCACATCAGCAGCTGGGGAAGCAGGCTCCCAGAGTTGCCTAGCTGTCTCCTGAGTCTGAGAAGGCAGCAGAGGCCGGAAGTGCTGGGCAGAGACAGTTTGGTGAGAACCAGCAAGGGTAGCATGAGAGTGCCTGTCACTGGGGACTAAGGCCCTGTCTCCCACAGGAGCTGGGAATAGGGCTGGTCTGGGCCTCTAGGTCCTGAAGCCATCCTTGAGGGTGCTTTAGGAACAGGAGGTGCTGTTGCCCAGGGAGGGTCTAAAGGCTCTGTTGAACCATGGTTCAGGTGGCCAGGCCAGGCCAGATGCTCCCCCCCCTCCACCAGACAGCCCCCACCAGAGCTGTGTATCTCCTGAGATGTGGGCTTTCTCATAGTCTGAAAGGTGTAAGCCTCACCACAGGATCTCTGGCTCATTATTCTTTCTTATGCCACTAGCTCCTTGATTTCCAGAGCCAAGAGAGACATCTGGGACCAGAGAAACTAAAGCACCACTGCTTGACTAGCGCTGACTCAGTGATTCATGAACGTTTCACATTACCACACTTTGTCTACTCAATTATTCAGAAGGCAGAAATGCTGCTTTCTGGATCCTACAACTCAGCGACTAAGTGGGCATTGGGTTTTATGAGGAATAATGCTGAAGACCAGAATATAAGACGGTATAGTGCACAGACTGATGGGCATATCCTAGGTTGGATTAAGCCATTAAATTTTTTTGACATTAGATCTAGTTCCATGTGGTGTTAAGATTAAAAAACTGACAGGGTAGCCGGGCATGGTGGCGCATGCCTGTAGTCTCAGCACTCGGGAGGCAGAGGCAGGCGGATCTTTGTGAGTTCAAGGCCAGCCTGGTCTACAATAGTGAGTTCCAGGACAGCTGGGGCTACAGGGAGACCTGCTTCAAAAAGACAAAAAAAAAAAAAACCTGACAGTGTGGTAGCATATGCCTTTAATCTCAGTTACTCTGGAGACAGAGGCAGGTGGCTCTCTGTGAGATCCAGGGGCCAGCCTGGTCTACATGGTGAGTTTCAGGACAGCTGGGGCTACAGGGAGACCCTGTCTTAAAAAAAATTCAAAAACTTTACCCTGAAATTTTATTATTTATTAATTTTGTGATGTGGGGCCTCATAGGTAGGCAAGTGCTCTACAATGGAGCTACACATCCAGCCCAGAAAGTCACTTTTTAAATTAATCAATTTAAATTTAAAGAAGGTAAAGTGACTTCAAAGAGATTTTTATTCCAAAAGCCAAATCTCCTCAGGGCCATGATTCCAGGTTTGGATAATCTTGCCCTACGTACTCTTGTTCTTCTAGGTCAAATAAGAAATACTTAAAAGCTCCAAGAGTCTGAACTATAATATAGACAGCATTCAGTTGTCCAAGGCACATTGTCCTCTTGTGAAAGAAACTGTCCCCCTCCACATTAGTAACATTCTTTCACCATTTCTGAGCAGGAGAAATAAAAAGGAAATAAACTAGAAAGAGACTGTTCCATGGCTGGTGAACCACAGCATCATCTAAGGCGTGGTAAGGGAGAATAACTGGCATCTGGCCCTCCCACCCCGTCCCCCACATCTGGGACAGTAGGAATTTCAGTTAATTAGGGTCCTGCTGTGCCATATGCACTCAGATCATTCAGAACTAATGGCAAAATAGGAAGCAGCCTGGTGGTTTTTCAACTCTAAGGCTTAAAGTATCCCTAATAACAAAAGTCTGAGTAATTTTTCTAGACCAGATACCACAGGACTCTGCTTCTTCAAGAGAATAGCTTTGGGAGAAATAGTGGCTGGTTTTCCTTTTTATAGAAGAGATCTTGCTGGGGAGGGGAATATACATGATTTGCAGTGACTTTTTTCTTCTTTTTTGTTGAGCTGGCAGTTAAACCCAGAGCTTTGCACATGCTAGGGAAGCATGTGGCCATGGAGCTTGCAGCCTCCTCCCTGAAGCTGGTCTCAAAGCCCCCAGAGGAATCGCAGAATGGCTCTTGTTCAGGTTCCTTGAGCCCCAAACCCCAGTGATTTACCCTTAAAACATTGCTCTTTCATGCTTCTTGCGCTGGGCATACTCATGGCCAATCTCAAGGAGTGACTGCTTTAGTGTTAGCATTCACAAGGCCCTGGGTTCAGTCTCCAGCGCTATATAAACTGGGCATGATGGTTCATACCTATAATCCCAGCATTAGGAAGTGGAGGCCAGAGGATAAGAAGGTCAGGGTTATCCTTGCAAGACTACTTAAGGTCAGCCTGGGCTACCTGAAACCCTGCCTTAGAAAAGAAAAAAAAATAGAGAAAAGGAAAAAAAAGAAAAAGACTAGGTGTTTAGAGCATCATTTTTGCCAGAAAGCAGTTTCTGTTGAAGCAGAAAAGATTTAGGTGACTCTGTCCTTTACCCAGAGTGGGTCTGTTTTGATGAACAGCTAATCATGATTAGCAAAAGGAGACTTAGTCACACTAGTCTGAGAAAGCATGGTTCCTTGAACAAAAAGGCCAGTTCTGAGTTTGAGGAAGCAAAACAACAAAACCAACCCCTAAGAAAAACCACTAAGTTAGTTTCCGTATGGTTAGTCTTCGTGACGATCTTTTCAGCGCTCCTAACTTCCTTGCCTGCCTTCTGGTCTCTTCATTATTCACCAGTACCTCCAGATGGTAAAGGAACAGGAATAAAAGCCAAAGACTTAAGGGAAACATCTTGGGAGTACAGACTGAGCCTGGTGTCGGGGTTTTTGCCTGTAATCTCAGCACTTAGGAGCTGGAGACAGAAAGATCAGAAATGAAAGACTAGCCTCAGCTATATAACAAGCCAGGGCTACACGAGACCACATCTCAAAAACCTGCCCAAAATAAATAAATAGTAAGTGGAGATTGAGTCCTCAGATAACTGCCTCTGAAGACTTCTTTGAATTCTGCTAAATTCTCACCTCTGCTATCAAGATTCTGCTAAGGGGCTGGGGAGATGGCTCAGTGGGTGATGCGCTTGCCACCCAAGCATGAGTGGATGGCTGGAACCCAGGTAAAACCCTGCATCTGTAACCTTGGATGCTGAGGGCTGGGTGTAGGGGGCAGACAGACACAGATCTCCAGAGTTTGGTGGCAAGCCAGTCTATCTAATCAGCAAGCTCCAGCTTCCATGAGACCCTGTGTCAGTAAGATCGAGAACATGGAAGAAGATGTCTGAAACCAACCATTGGCCTCCATGTATACCTGCAACAAACCATTACGCGCGCCCTATACCCCCACACATGTGGGGTGAGAGAGAGAGAGAGAGAGAGAGAGAGAGAGAGAGAGAGAGAGAGAGAGAGAGAAACTGTCCTAAGCTTAGGCCACGTGTGGTAGTGCAGTCCTTAAATCCTAGAACTTGAGAGGCAGAAGCAGGTAGATTTCTGTAAGCTTGAGGCCAACCTGGCCTACCTAGAGAGTTCCAGCCTCCAGTCCAGCCAGAGATACATGGTGAGCTTGTCTCGAAAAATAAAAATAAAGCTTTAGTACTTATTTATAGATTTCTAAAGAGATTTGGCTAGAGACAGGAGTGAGCACCAAATTTTTTTGGAGGGGAAGACATTATCTGTTCTGTGTAAAGATATCTTTTCTGACCTGAATGCTGGTTAAAAAAGAGGTCCTAACACAGAACTGTCTGTCGTCTGACTTTATGTATAACCTCAAAACCACCTGTATGACAAACTCCTCTGTACTCCTCTTCTACTCAAACCACAAAATCCTTTGTCAGTTAGACACCCTGAGAAGTACCTGTAGACAGGAACAAGCAGACACATGGGTCACTTTGTTAGAAGTTGGTAACAATACCAATAAAGAATATTTGTAATATTTGTAATTCCATACTCAAGTCACATAAGTAACATCGGAGAATTTTCGGTAGTTATTACAACTTGCTAGGCTTGAGAAGTTCTACCCAGGGAGTCAGAGTGTTCAGAAAGGGATGAACACCTCCAAAAGCAAGTCCCATGTCTTCAGTGAGCTGTTCATGCTAAAGTACTCTTTGGTTATATCATGAAGTAGATAAGTGCCAAGACAAGAGGGTCTTGGCAAGACAATAAAGGCCTTTTTTTTTTTTTGACAGTTTCATCTAGCCTAGGCTGTCCTTGAACTCAGCATGTAATAAAGGATAACCTTGAACTCCAAATCCTCCTGCCTCCACCTCCCAAATGCTACTACAATTACGCTCAGTGAGAAATTATGCTTTTGTTTTGTTTTGGAGACAGGGTTTTCCTGTATCCCCAACTGGCCTGGAATTCAAAATGTAGACCAGGCTGGTCCCTGGATCTCACAGAAATCTGCCTGCCCCTGCCTCCTGAGTGCTGGGATTAAAGGTGTGTGCCACCTTCCCCAGCAACAAAGTATACTCTTTTTTTTTTTTGGCCTTTTTGAGACAGGGTCTCTCTGTACATGCAGGCAATACTTTCATACACATAAAAAAAAATATATTTTTTTAAAAACCTAAGGGGAGAGAGGCAGAAGAGAGAGGGAAAGGGAGGGAGGGAAGAGGAAAGGGGAAGGAGGAAGGAAGGGAGGGAGGGAGAGACGGAGGGAGGGATACACAATCTCCAGTCTTACCCTGTAATAAATAAACTGCAACTTCCCCAACACACCAGGCTGTTACTAGTTTTGTTTGTTTGTTTGTTTGGTCTTTTTGAGACAGAGTACCCTGTAGCCCCAGTTGGTCTGGAACTTACTAATTTTAGACCAGGCTGGCCTTGAACTCACAGAGATCCGAGATCCGTCTGCCTCTGCCTCTCCAGTGCTGGGATTAAAGGTGTGTGCCACCACACCCAGCCTAGCTCTTAAATTTCTTAGAAACAAATTTGTGTGTGGTCTGGTAGCTCATGGTGCATGGTGGCCCGTGCCTTGAAATCCCTGCACTCAGGAGGCAGAGGCTGGTGGATCTCGTCTGAATTCGGCTGTGTACTAGACCTGCTTACCTATTATGGAGTTTACAGAGCCTCCAGCACACTGTATGTGTTCTGGTCCTTGCCTTCTTCCTAAGGCCAGCCTGCTATCATCTAACACTAACCACCAGCAGCTCCATTTAATCAGTCACTAGGCCTCCTGCTCTGGGCTAAAAATTTCAAGAGGTTTAAAATTCTCTGCTCAGCTGGGCATGGTGGCACACACCTTTAATCCCAGTGCTTGAGAGGTAGAGGCAGACAGATCTCTGTGAGTTCAAGGCTAGCCTGGTCTATATAGCAAGTTCCAGGACAACTGGGGCTACAGGAAGACCTTGTCTCAAAAAAGACCAAAAAAAAAAAAAAAAAAAAATCTCTGCTCATCAGTGGTAGCCATTTAGATATTTTCCAGTGGGCAGTGAGTTAGGGGAGTTATGCAATAATTTGTCAATGCAGGTTCCAGTTTCCAACTCATCTGTGAATGATCCTGGGAAAAGCCAGGTGTAGTAACTTACCTGTAATCCCAGCCCCCAGGAGGCTGAGATAGGATCTTGAGATCGAGACCTACCTGCTACATAGCCTGTTTTCACTGCCCCCCTAACAAAGTCATTAACCAACCCTGAGAGGTCTTTTATTAGTTGCCCCATAGGAAAATACTGAAATCATGTATATGCCTTAGTATGTAAAATCTGTCATAATATAGGTTGTAAAAGCATGCAGATGTCATTCTCCAACACTAATTCCTCAACCAGAGTTCAAAGACCTCTAAGGAAGTTGCTTGCTCCTGCTTTCAAACCAGACACACTGAAAATACATTAAGTTTTACA